TGCTGTGACGTCACACACTGTCGGTTGAAATATTTTGAAGGTGAGGTCGAGGGCGGTGCCGTACGGATCGGCCCGTCTCTCTCTCTCTCTTCTCTCTCTCTCTCTCATCTCTCTCTCTCTCTCGGTGTGTGTGTGTGTGTGTTGTAAGTCACGAGGTGCTGTGACGTCACACACTGTCGGTTGAAATATTTTGAAGGTGAGGTCGAGGGCGGTGCCGTACGGATCGGCCCGTCTCTCTCTCTCTCTCATCTCTCTCTCTCTCTTCTCTCTCTCTCTCTCGGTGTGTGTGTGTGTTAATATATATGTATGTATGTGTTAATATATATCTATGTATGTGTGTGTTAATATATATCTATGTATGTGTGTGTTAATATATATGTATGTATGTGTGTGTTAATATATATGTATGTATGTGTTAATATATATGTATGTATGTGTTAATATATATGTATGTATGTGTTAATATATATGTATGTATGTGTGTGTGTGTGTGTGTGTGTGTGTGTGTTAATATATATGTATGTATGTGTTAATATATATTTATGTATGTATGTGTGTGTTAATATATATCTATGTATGTGTGTGTTAATATATATGTATGTATGTGTTAATATATATGTATGTATGTGTGTGTGTGTGTTGTAAGTCACGAGGTGCTGTGACGTCACACACTGTCGGTTGAAATATTTTGAAGGTGAGGTCGAGGGCGGTGCCGTACGGATCGGCCCGTCTCTCTCTCTCTCTCATCTACAAACAATATTCTACACAACAGTTATTTAAAGAAGACAGGACAACTGTTTTGTACATTGGAAGGTCATAGACTGAAATATCAGTATGGTAAATGCAAATCCGTGATCTAGAAGCCTCTAACAGCAGATATATATTGATTATATTCAATTCAAAACTAATATGCCTCCTAAATTATCAGTGGCATCTAATATACTCTGAAGATGTAAATGTACTGTATCTCACCTCATAATATATCATGATACGAAGTTATTTTAAATTCTTTTTTTTCTGTTTCAGGTATTACTGCTGTTAGAGGAATAATCGATGCAATAAATACATAAATATTTTGAATTTGACTCTCTCTCCATTTCTTAATAACGCGGAAAAGACACTAAATCAGCTGAAGCTCCTTGAGAACTTTCGTAACGGCTGGGATAACTTTTTTCTTGTATTTCAGAAGAATCGTTTCTTCCACGGTGGAGTTGGGTTGCTTGCAGAAATCCTCACAGTCGTACCTGAAGTGCGCGAGGTATGCTACGTCTCTCTTGTATATACGGGAGTTTCTCTCACACTTTCCTGTTCGGGAAGGTATCGTAAACCATCAGGGTGGAAGACTACATTAAATATAAATGTATTCAAGGTGGCCTGATAACGTTGAGGGACCAATGAATACAGAGAAAATAATGTGAAAGTACTGTATTGGGGGGGGGGGGGGGGACAAGAGTGGGGGAAAATATGCAGCTAAATAAAATAATGCATGCCTCGGAGCGCAGTCTTACCATAGGCACAAGTGAGAACATCATGTGAAAAGAGGCCTGTTGCCAAGTCCATGTCGTAAACGGGCTTGGTCTTTCCAGGTGTCACGGCCATGCTTTCCAGAGACCTCTTGGTGTGTCGCATCGCCCACAGGTACTCGGGGAGAGACGCCGCAGAGGGTGCAGGTTCGAGGTTTTTCTGGTGGTAGTACCAGATCAACTTGTGGGCAGGAGGCTGTTTTCTCTCGTCGCCGAGTAGAACGGGGTGGCTGCTTGGAAGAAAACAGGAAGAAAAATAGGGGCAATCAAGGCGTTTGCTGCCCAAGATGCTTAGCCCATACTGGGATAGGCTGAACCTGGGGACCTCACGCTGGGAGACAAAAACAAGGTAGCTAGAACCGGGATAGGCCAAAATTGGGTATCACATATTATAGTGGCTCATTAGATATCAAGAACTGGGATAAACACTAATCATAATGAAACAGAATGAAAAAAAAACATTTGATTTAAAAACATTCTGCATAAGCACAATGGGATAAACTAAGCAATTTATGAATTGTATGACTGTTACTATTCCGATTAAATTGCCGTACATGACTACTCGATGTTGAAGAATGCGTTCTAGAGAACTATTCTTGCCAATTGCACTTTTGAAAGTATATCTCCTATACATTTCATCCTCACACTGCCTTTCTTGGATCCACTCAAGTAATTCAGTGTTTTATGAGGGACACCCGTGGTTGGGTCCATATAGAGGTGATTGTGGTTGACAGTAATATAGAGGAAACCTCTCCGGACGAGGCTGTGGTACATCTTTCCTCATTCTTCTTCTTTTCCTTTACGGCTGTTGGTCCCGCCTTGCTGGTTCAGCCGCCCGGGTCTTCCGTCTCCAAGTCTCTCTTTCCAGGGCCTCTTCCGGACGTACGCCGAAGTGGCTCTTATCCTCCTTCACGTTATCTCTCCATCTCTTCTTTGGTCTTCCTCTCGGCCTTCTTCCTGGTACTATACTTTCCAAAGCCACTTTTGCTGGATGTCCTTCTTCTCTCCTCCTCATTATCTTCATATAATTCAGTGACTGCTGACAATCAGGACAAAAAACCATTCCCTTTGAAGGAAATTACATCCCACCCTCCAGTTAATGTAACATACACCATATATCTGTTAATTTTCCTTTCTCTTTTTGCCTCAACGCCTTGCAGTTGTTACTGAAACACTAGTCTCATACAGTCTTATTTTCAAATGTCTCGCACTATTAGTTCTAAGCATGGCCCTTTTTCTTGCACACATCAAAATTTCCCTCTCGGCTGAAATCTCACCTCGTCCACAATCTTTTGTACTAGCATCAATGTTACTATCACTTCCATTCAGCACGTGATGATATTTTCATCAGGCAATGATCAATTTCTATGATGCTGCTTAGTTATTTTCTTATCAAATGATCAACTTTCTCTTCTACTGATTCCACAGTTGAATTAATCTTCTGTACATTCGGTCTAGGCTAACAAGAAATGTACTTGTCTGATACCAGTCCCGTCTCTCTTGACTACTGGTTGATCAGCTCGTGAAAGTGGAGAAGCGCATAAGAATATATTTGGATGGCAAGATACCTGATGGTCAAGTAGTATTTTGATTCAAAATTAAAACTTACTCAAACAGTGACACAGGATCATATGAGGAACTAGTATCATATGAATTATCTTACCTAACAAAGCCAGTAAGTAGTAGAATTGTAGAGCTTGTTTTTTCTCGCATGTTAATGCAATAAAGTACGAAACTGCATGCAACTTCCCATGCCTGAATCAATAATTAGGACATGGACCACACTACTGATAACTGGAAGATGCTACAAAAACATAGAAATACATGAAAGAGTGCTATTAAAATTAACATCTATCAACATGTATGGAAGTCAAGACGAAACAGACAGTGGCTTGGGCGCTCTCTTTCCTAAAGAAACTTGTAAGGAAGATATAAACAAGATGCTACTCTATCTCAGTTAAGCTTTTCCTTCACTTATAGCTATTACTACATATAAAAGTAAGCTATGGCATGAAAATTTGGTAATAAAAAAGCAAACCTGGCAATAAAACTTGTTAATACATACATGAGCAAAGCGGTCAACCCTGCTGCTTATACATTATGTGACTAGAAGCTTGGAGTGGGCGTAAGGTTATCAATCATACATAATGACAGTGATGATGCATAAATAATGAATGACCCTGAAACGTAATTACTTCACAGCAGCACTCTGCTATTGCTAAGAGCCAGCCGAGTTAAGGATTTTTTTCCGTTCCGTGAGATCTTTGTTGGAAAACTCTTCAGTATTGCAATGGATGGGTGGTTTAGGTTAAAATATATAAATTGTAGATACACCAAATTATATGTGAGTGTGTGTGCATGCGCATATATACACTCGTTAATTTTGCAAACTCTATTCTGAACCGCCGTGTCGTTGTCCTTCAGGATCTCTGCCGGTGCTCCTGCTCACAAAATATCATCTCTAATTGCTCGATCACACATTTACTAGTTTGCCATAGCAGTTGCCGCCATACAGCGAACTGCGACAGCCCACAATCATTCAGCATCAGGTAATGCCGGCTGCTGAAGTGGGTGACCTCCATTTCAACACGTTGGCATACTTTGCAACCTCTTACCACAGCCTGTGCTTGCCGCCATGTGGATGCAAAATCCTCCCGCCTTCCGAAGAATGTGTGTCATACTCCCAGCCTCATGATGAATTCGCCGCTGTTCATCCACACCTTCACTGCCACTGCTGCACACACATACATCAGCTCGGGCGGCTGGGCTCAGACTCTGTCAACCACCATTGCGGGGACATGCGTCAGGCCGTCTGTCTCATTCGATGTCACCAACACGATGCACATCTTGACATTCCATACTTCCAACAATGACGTCATGGTCTTCAATTGCCCCCTTATTAACATTTGCAGCCTTTGTAAGTAGCCTATTCTTCCCTGTCAGGCCATAATCAATCTACAGGTGCACTGCCACCAAATCTGTCACCACTGTTGTATCACTCATTTCCCCAGCAAGCACCAAGTTCATTCCCTTCACAATTGCATCCAACTAAGCCAGATTATGGCCCTTCTGTAGCTAGCCTCCAGGCTAGTACAGTGGTAACGTGTCGGCTTCTCATCTGAGAGGTCGGCGGTTCGCGCCCAGCCCAGGCGCGAGAAGTTGCAATTGTCGCCTGGAGGTTAATGCTGTGGCTGGGCACCATGGCGGGTAAGGACAAAGCCGAGTCAACACCAGCTGACACACATTAGCGAGTCGGCATTAGTCGACACAGGCCGGGCTATAAGGCTCAGCTTCGCGCATATCGAACTTATCCTCATCCCTTCTGTAGCCAGCTCGTGTTCTCCACTAGATGTCCATCTACCTCCAGAGCCACCCCTAGTGCTAGCGAACCTGCGTCTACCCACTCCTTCACCCTCTTTCCTGTATTGTCCCTGTGCCCACAGACCGTGTAGATCCACATTACTCCTTCTGTGACCTCCAGCATCCTCTTCCTCACTCCATCATCAGCAATTTCGTCCACCTGCTTCTGGGTGGCAAGATTGTAGCCTATGGTTGCAACACTGAAAATGTCCCAGTGAATCCAGACACTCCTCCCATATTCACTATGCCATCCATCCCGAAAATGCACTTCTGCATAACTTACATATCTAGTATGACCTTCCTGTCGTTGAACTGCACTCACGCCACTCTGTTACCATCAAATCGCCACTCATGACAATTCATTATTGCTTCTTCTTTTTTCCACTTACTACACAGCACTTGCATGATACTCCACGAGCAACCCGTATCCACTTGGGCCCGGCGCCTAACACCGTCCACACTCGGAAGCGCTCGCGTCACTGTTAATGGTAGACTGGAGAGCCGCGTCTCCATTGCCGTTTCTTGAAGGATACACGATGTTTCCCATGTCTATGCAGCAAGTAACACTAAATTATCTTTAGCGTCTCTGCCTCTCCTGCACTGCTGCCTCATCGCTGCTAGCCACAGTCCCTGGCGAAGTGATTTGGCCCACTGCACGCGAAGCAACGGCGATTCAAGACCAGTACCGGCGAAGTAGCAGGTTAGCAGCCACACCGCTAAAACCTACAGGCCCGCCACTTGCTTTGCCTGCCCAATTTCCACTGGTCTACCACTTGCTTAAGATTCAGGCACATGATCCAAGGGGCAGGCAGTCCAATGACGAACAAACTCATCAGGAACTTGTCACTCGCTCCACCTGTCAAGCTGGCAAACCGCTGCAGATCCACCAAGAACTCATCCGGGTATTCTAGCCACAGATGACGTGTGACAAGGTGCTCCATCCGCCGCAAGCGGATCCACATCTCTACGCCTTTCGTCACCTCCTCGCCGGTAGTCTGCTTGGCCCCAGGGATCTGCCCATAGAGTACGAACGTCACGCAACGTCCGTTACTCCAGCCTCTCCATCCTTTCGACCATGAATTCCGGTATCAGCTTGATGTCAAATGAAGCTGCTTCCGTCATCTTCACCAATTCTGAATCTTGCTGTATCATAAGCCTAGATAGCTTGTGGTTCCAAGACAAAGGAAAAGATACTTGTCTTTGCACACAAAGCAAAACCACAAAAGCCCACTGAGGCAGAGCCAGCTAATAATTCTCTGCGTCTACAACGGTCGTCCTACCCAACCCAATCTCGCGTTCAATGGTCGAACCAGCAGGTTGCATAGAACTTGTTTGACTAATTGGCGCCACACAACTGAACATTATAGATACAAAATATGACACAAACAGAATGATTAACGCCATTATAAATACACACACATAAGCACATGTGTGCCTGTTGCACAAAATTTTAATTTCTATATATATATATATATATTTTTTGTGCTGTATCAGAGCCTGACGTTGGCGACCATGTTTAATTTCATGGTTGTACAAGGGAGTGTACGAAGGTGGTTTCCCGTTACCTTCCTTTGTATGATTGAAGAGTTCACCATCTCTCTTACCAGTGGATCTTCTCCTTGTATTTCTGCAACCACCTGATTGGATGCCCTTCCTGATCAGCCGCGGTTCGCCCTGCCTAACAGCGACTTCGAGGGTCAGAGTCCAGTGCTGTAACCACTAGACTAACGCGGCAATTTTCTTTTACCATCCATTTTGTCCATATCTAAAGCGTGCAAAGATGCTATTAATATTCCTATAAATTTCACATAACCGCCATCACAGTACGCCACCTCTTTGCAGAGACAGCGCAAGCCTCGAGCCATACCTGTTCAGCTGATCGGAGAGCCACTGCGGGAAGGTGTCATGAAGGCGCAACATCGGAATTTCGTCGGGATCAATGTGCGCAATGAAGCGGTATTCGTGCATGTGGCGAAGACCGCAGTCGGTGTAGTACACATTCTGCATGGCGAATCTCTTTTGCTTCTCCACCATGAACCAGAGTCTAGGATAAAGGTTAAATGAATCAAGGGATAAAGGTTTTGCAATTTGGATATCAAGTGAGTATCCAATATTAAACTAAATATCTCTTGACATAAAAGAATACAACTATTGAGTAACATCGCACATGCACACATGCAGACACACACACATACAAACACACACGTACAAAGGTACATATAAATCAGCATCACATTGACTTTGACTTACTGTACATGTGGCATCACCTACATCTACCACTTATGTATTGGTGGTAGATGTAGGTTCTACTGCCAACAATATATCAAGAGGCAAAATGAAGAAACTGTCATTGAAAAATATAAACTAGGTCATTGCTGAGTCATAAATCTCTTCTAGCAGAAATGCCAATGCCTAAAACCTTCTATATTAAGAAGTTCATATCAGCTTCAACACCTCCCCCTCAAAAAAAAGGTTGGTAAGTAGTCGATCAATCAACAGATACGTGAATGTGGCAGGGATAGTTTGTCAGTTCATTAATAAGATAATAAGTTTGTAAATCTAGGAATGAGTGCTTAGAAACTAAAGCACACTGTACTGATTGACAATAAATTTACTCAACAGCAAAACAGAATTACGGAACTGAAAAGAAACTCAGTGTCAGTACAGATAAATAGGAAATAAAACTGACAGACTGCTTTCTCTATTAACTCTATTTCCATTAATTTTATTTCACCATTAATCATCAAATGCTTTAAAGCCACGTCAAAAATATCACGAGAATCTACAAATCAACCTTAATTATTCCTGTCATCTCTGCCGTAAGACTTCTCCACAAAATTCTTATTCCAAAACAATTATATGACATTTACCGAAGAGCTTCCTACATTTCATATCAGACATAAGGCGCATTTTTTGACGAGAAATGCAAGCAAGCTATGGTTTGGTTCGATGTGCTTCGTCTTGTCGAATTCGTCAAAGACAGTTAGCTTGCTACCAGTGTAAGGAAACTACCGGGATATGTGAAGACTTGTTCCCCTTTGTATTGGGTGAAGGAATCAAGGTCTGTGTAAGTTACATAGACCTTGACAGGAGTGATATCCCCAGGATGGCCATAATACAATTTTAGCTAGAGAATAATGGAGCTATTTATATACTTTAGTTAATGCAATCGGTACTGATATGGCAACTGCTTTGTAGTTTATATCAAATATTGGCGACAAAGTATCGTGGCTTATGTGCTTTACTTTGGCTAAGTTCTAATGCAGTGGATTTAATGAGTTCCGTCAAAAACAGGAGTGAACAAAAGATGTCAAATTGCACCTATAATTGACAGGCTCCCTAGAAAGACCCTTTCTGCTCAATGGTTAAGGGACAGGTTGGTAACAGCTTCTCTAAGTTGGTAAATCAAATGACTGGTGTCCAACAAGGAGTTATCTTGAGTATGTGGATTTCAATATTACAGCTGTCTTGTTCACTAGCACCTCTCTACGTTTTGGAGGTTCTCTGTCCCAACTTTATTTTAACAAGATCAACACCGAGACATCTTGTTAAAGAAAAAAAATGTTCCGTTCCTTCTCTTCCTATGTTTGCACTATTTAAATGTGGTAATACGATTAAGGCATAAAATCTATCTGTATGTAAAAGATTTTCACATGTATTAATTAATAATAACGGAGAAGTATGTCTTGAAAATATGCAGTGTATGTACTCTTAAATACATCTTTCCTCGTGGATATTAAACTAACCATTTACATCTTCTCCCAATATGCTTTTCCACTCCTGGTCCCTTTCACAAAGGTCACCTCCAGCCTTTAACCATCTATGAGTCAGTCTTCTCAACCTTTTTAAGAAATGGACTCTGGTCTTTCAACTTCCGAAGTTATCTCAGAATCTGTCAGGTAGATTTATACCTCCAATAACATTTACCATAAAAATAACATCTAATGCAAGGTTAAATATCAGTGAAGGGGGAATGGGAATACGTTTTATAGGGTTGAGTGGCACCTCTCTTAGCCCTCTGATCACTACCCAATACACTGATGTCAATAGTGCTTATAGTGATATCAATGATGATGTCACTGTAAGCCAGTCTTCAGCCTTCTGCATTGAAATGACTTTTGGATGTTAAGAATCACAATACATCCCTTTCCTGCGATCTCTAGTCAGTTTGATTACTGTGAAGATGATATATAATAGCGTTATTGTCCTGTAGTTAGGAAGTTGGTTCTATTTGTCTACCAAATTGGATTGTTAGATTTAGGATCCAATGCTACTTGAGAGAGGGATGGATGACTTAAAATGGACATTGTCAGAACTCTTAGCACCCAGGGACTGTGTAGCTGGGATGCCATATTGGTGCTATTAAACAGATGTTTTCTTTCAAGTTGAACCAGTTGTAATCTATACAACCTGGGGTAATGGTTAATAGTTAGCCGGATATCAAAGATCATATACACTAAGGCAAAACATTTTGTTAAAAAGGGTAAACAATGATCAATTAATTACAAAAAAAAAATAGATTTCGGAGGTCGGAGAAAATGGGTTAAGGAGGGGATTAGTAAAAGGGGCATGGTTGGGTTAAGGGCGAACGGCGATTTGATCAAAGGGAGAGTATCTATGCATCTGGGGAAGGAAAACAAGCTGACAGAAGGAAGGATGAACGATAGACCGCAGAGATACGGGCTGCAATAAAGCGGGGATAGGACAATAAAATGCGTGGGACTGAAAGAGGAACCATTGTGAAGCACTCGACGGGGTAATAAAGGTAAAAATGGATGTCGGAGAAATAGGAGAAGAACCCGGGGAATGAGTTAAGGACCAGAGGAAGGAGGTGAAGTATCAGAAGAGTGTCAGGAGGGGAGGGATCAGGGGAAAGACACTGATGTGACAAAAGGGAATCATGTGAGCATCCAGGAGGGAGCATAAAGGGTAATGAGGAAAGAAGGGAGGATGGTGCAGACAGAGAAGGGGAGCATGGGGTGTGTTGGGAGAGAGTGGGAGCAAGAGGGGTAGGGGGACATCCTCTCCTGTGCTGCTACAATTCTTGGAAAAGAAATATTGATGAATCTATATTTTTTGTATTACACTTGTACCAAATGTCTTCTATTTCATGCACG